TCTATAGTGGCCTCTATAGGTTACTTTGAGATATTTGTTGCAATCTTTTGCTTTTTTGTGTTCTGTGCTTTAGGGGATAGAAGTGGCCTACCATGTAATTGGCCATTTCTTGGAATGTTTCCTGGCCTTCTTTTCCATGTAAATAGAATTCATGAAAGGTGTTTTGAAGTTTTTTCAAGAACTGGAGGTACTTTTTTGCTAAAAGGCCCTTGGTTTGCAAATATTGACATTCTTGGTACAGTAGATCCTGCAAATGTGCACTATATCATGAGTGCAAATTTTGAGAATTTTCCAAAAGGGGAAGAGTTCAAGAAAATTTTTGATGTACTAGGAGATGGAATTTTCAATTCTGACTTGGATTTGTGGAAGAGTCAGAGGAAAATTACTAGAACTTTGATCACTCATCAAAGGTTCCATAATTGTTTGGTGAAAACTAGTTGGGACAAAATTAAAAATGGACTTATTCCTGTCCTTGAATTTGTGGCTAGAGAAAGTAAAATTGTGGATTTGCAAGATGTTTTTCAAAGGTTCACCTTTGATACAACATGTCAATTGGTCACAGGCTTTGATCCTGGTTGTCTATCTTTAGAATTCCCAAATGTTCCCTTCTCAAAAGCAATGGATGAGGCTGAAGAAGTATTATTCATTCGCCATTTATTGCCAGAAAGTGTTTGGAAATTGCAAAAATGGCTAGGTATTGGACATGAGAAGAAATTAAGCAAAGCTTGGCAAGTTCTTGATCAAGTCATAGGCAAGTATATATCGATGAAACGCGACGAATTGAGCAATGGAACAAAGCTAAAGGAAGACAATGAAGAGGGTTTTGATCTCTTAACTTCATACATATTAGATGATGGGCTAAATTTTGATGACAAGTCTTTGAGGGACACAATACTAAACCTCATGATCGCGGGACGTGACACGACTAGCTCTGGCCTTACTTGGTTCATTTGGCTTGTTTCGACACACCCTGAGGTGGAAAAAAAGATAAGGAAAGAACTAATGGCAATCATTTCGGTGGCAAAATCCCAAAAATGGAGACTTTTTAGGGCAAATGAGTTGAAAAATGCGATTTATTTGCATGCAGCATTGTGTGAATCGTTAAGGCTATATCCACCAGTTCCATTTCAGCACAAGACTCCACGAGAGCCGTGTATTCTCCCAAGTGGACACCATGTTCATCCTAATATGAGAGTGATGTTTTCTTTGTATGCTATGGGGAGGATAGAATCAATATGGGGAAAGGATGCCGCAGAATTCAAGCCAGAGAGATGGATTTCGGACCGTGGCATAGTAAAACATGAACCATCTTATAAGTTCTTGGCTTTCAATGCAGGGCCAAGGACTTGCTTAGGAAAAGAAGTGGCTTTCACTCAAATGAAAGCTGTGGCTGCTGCTATAATCCATAATTACCAAGTTGAAGTTATCAAGGGACACAAAGTTTACCCTAATGTCTCCATCATTCTCTACATGCAACATGGTTTCAAAGCCAGTATTAAGAAGAGATGGACTTAGTTTTATGTTTTTGCTATTCTCTATTTTTATTTGGGGTCCGTTTTTCTATGGAATTAATTAACGCCATCTTCTTGACTACGCAATGTATATTCAATTTCCCTATCATGTAGTTCACTTGTGTTTCAGGTTCAAGTTGTACTAAAACCAAAATAAAAAAGAGAAGTTGATGTAAGCTGCACATGTGGTGATGTATAGTTGCTGTATATGTTGGAGGAAATAAATGATTTTAAACACAAGTCTTAGCCTCTTTTAGTGTAGTTTGCCTTTTATTAATTTTGTTTGAAGAATTAACCTAAATAGCCTTCCACCCAATTGTTTAAACTAAAAATAGATGGTTAATGTATAATATATGTATAATCCATATGTAATAAGTGTATAATTATGTATAATCAATATATAATCTATGTATATCGGCTAGAAAAAATAAATAATGAATCTCACCGGCTATTCGTATAAAAATCCCTATTTGTTTTACTAAAGACTTAGTAAATGCCTGACCATGACAAATTTTATCAACACATTACTATAACAATAACAACAACAAATCTAGTGAAATCCCACAAATAGAATCTGGAGAGGATAGTATATACGCAGACCTTACTCCTATCCTGAAAAGGTAGAAGTTAAAATTTTATCAGCCCATTAGCTTAAGATAAAATTTAAAAGAAAAAAACATAGTTGCAAATTCTGTTAGGAAATCGATTTTCTATGTTATTGATGGGTTTGAACGTACCACCTCAACTGGGAAGGCAAGGTAACACCTAATGTAATAAAAAAAGTTTTAAAAAAATACCGGCCTTCTACATCCCCATTGAATACAAGAAATAACTATCGGAAAAATTGCAAAGTAAAGGAAATAGTTTCTAACTTAATGCTATATAAAGTTACCACATAAGCAATTACAAGCAAATATTTCCTACTTTTAGTGAAATAGCAACCCAAAACTTCAACTATAGTATGTGGTTTGACAACATTTGAGTAAAAACTGGGGAAAAAAGAAATGCACTTGAAGTTGAAGTCGAAAATGTTTGTGAAAATTTCTTATTGATAATTCATGTATCTGTCCTGAATCTCGTAGTATTTAAAGTATAGCTATAGATCGCACAAGCACAAAACTTGTACAAAAAAATAATAATATTGTATAGTCACTCTCAAAATAATAACCGAAAATAATATATACATACATATACATATANTTTTATACACTTTTACGGCTATCGAATGCAAATAGTTTTGGCCACGGGCTAAAAGTGATCTTTACCCTAAAAAAATGTAAATCTTAACAAAATAATGGTCCTCAATCCATTGATTAGTCTACTATCACGACTTCATATTTAATTAGTTGGAACTTCCAAACTAATTGGCTGTTTTAAGATATAAGCAACTTCTAAAATAGACTTCAATCCCATTATTATTTAGCATCGTGAGAGTTTAAAATGCATAGCGTGGTACATTGTTATTACTACAAGAAATCTCCTATTCTAATGAAGTGTTAATTATCACTTAACAATCTAACTTAATTATGGTTGAGAAATGAATTGTCAACAGATGCACAAAACGATTTCGACTTTTCATCTGTCTTAATTATTTGTGAATCATTAGCTTAATTGGTAACTTGAAAAAAATAATTAACTTACTATGATAGGTTAAACTATATTGAATATGTAAAAGAATTAACACTTTCATTATATGTGATTTACATCCATATAATATAGTACTTGGCCGTTTTATCCTTTTTCTAAGTATGACCTATTGTGTTTTATTTTCATTGTTCAATTGCTATTCTCTCTCCCAATGCCGCCACCTATATTTATTACTCCCTCCGTTACTGGGCACGGAATTTAAGAAAAACTGAAGACTTTTAAAATTTTTGATCCTAAACAAGTCAAAAAGGGGTCCAAAGTATTTGTGTGGTTATAAAAGCTTCTTATTAGGGGTAGAATTGAAAATTTAAGCTAAATTATTTCCAAATTTAGAAAGGGATCATTCTTTTTGGAACGGACCAAAAAGAAAATAGGTTCACATCAACTGGAACTAGGGGTGTTCGTCGGTCGATACGGTAAGGTATTTAGATATTTCGGTTCGGAATTTTCGGTATTCGGTTTCTTAAAATGCTATACAAATACCGTACCTAATTAAATTCAGTATGGTTCGGTTTTTCTCCTTTCGGATTCGGTTTCTTCTGTTTATTCAGTTTGAATATTAACTAGTGTATAGAGTCATAGACTGTAATATTCTTAATTAAAGTACTCAAAGTACAAAACTAAAAATGTTTGTTGAAAACCAGCAAATATCAACTAGAGAGAGAAAACTGTACATAAAGGAATAAATGTGATCAATAAAAATATCATGTTACTTGGTTAGAGTTAATTGATGAACTTGGAGAATAAAGGAAAGTACAATTTTAGATATTTTATATTTATATTATAATTAATAATATGTGTGACAAGGTGGGTTGCTCTGATGGTAAGCCTATTGGAAACAGCCTCTCTACCCCAGGGTAGGGGTAAGGTCACCCTCCCCAAACCCCACTAGTGGGATTATACTGGGTTGTTGTTGTTGTTATAATTAATAATATGTTTATTGTGTAATATAATATACATTTCGGTACGGTATTTTGGTGTTTCATTTTAAAATATATAATATCATACCTAATACCAATTTTTTTTAAAACTTAAACCAAATACCATACCGAATATTAAAATATCGAATACCAAATACCAAAATTTTCGGTTTCGGTACTGTAATTCGATATTTATCAAATTATGCACGGCCCTAAACTGGAACGGAGGGAGTACATAATTAAGCTACTTTTTTCTGAAAAAAAAAATTATATAGGAAAGAATATTACTTTCTTCATAGCCACAAGCAATTGAAACTGGCCAAATGAGTGAATTGGTCATAACTAAGTACTCTAAAGCCTACCATTGTGAGTGCATGTGCTTTTAAAAACAACAAATTAAAGAAAATCAACTATCAGCTGTATCCAGACAGTATTCACTTAATTTGCCCCTTTTTTAGGGGTATTATCACTATTAGCTCGCGGCAGAAACTATTTATATTTGGTAGCCAAAAAAGTATATAAAATTTGTATACTTTATGTATATAACATACAGAATGTATATATATACACAAAAAATATATAATTTTTCGACTATTATTTTAAAAGTGGCTATACAGTATCATTTTTCTTTTTTTTTATAGTCGCATGCTTTCAATAATGTATAGTTAGTACTTCACTATCCTATATTAGAAGTCTGGAGCTGGAATCCTAATATGGAATCACCCTTAGCAGGAAGCATATTACCCACAAGAGTGAGACTTCTCAACACAAATCAAGATTAGCTAGACATGAATGAATCATATTTATTTACTGCACGTATTACCGCGGTAGTCATTCTCTCTATTTCTTCTTCAATTTGAGGATGATACATTGTTTATTATTTACTGTATATATTGAATGAACGAAATGGGATGGCCTCAACTTAGGAAAAATCACACCAAATTCTGGAGATTGTTACAAATAAAGAATCCACGCAGAATCGGCATTGTTTAAAACAACAGATATAATTGTATTGCCTACCCAATTTATTAGGGACATTTGACAAGTATATGAAACTCTTACCAACTACCAGCAAACTCGAAAATAATATAAGCAAAGCGAAAGCCACCCTCGGCTCTATTGACTGAAAATCCTACTAGTATAGACCAAGTACGACGAAAATATACTAAAAGATCACAAAATCTTACGCAATCTTTAGCTTAATCTAAGCGATGCTATTCATATTGTACGACAACAGCTTCCTCAGCCACAATCCAGCCATCCTCACTAGAGTTATTCTGATGGTACTCTGAACAATTCTGAAAATGACACAGACCATAAGGTTTACACAAGAACTAGGAAAGATAGAGCGCATAAAAGTATCGTCCACAATTAACAAAAGAAAAACGAATAATTCAGGTATATTACTGAAGAAAATAGCAAATGACAGAAATAGATCACAAGTTAAATTTAGTCAAATATCAGCTTTCACTTGCAGAAAGAAAAGAATAAAGAGGAAATGGTTTAATTCAAACTGCAGAAAACAGTTCCATGGCAGATACATTTCAAGAAGTGAAAAGCTGAAGTAGAAAGTCAGAAGCTATTACAGTTTTCCTTCAATTCAACTTCTTACTTTCTAACCTCTTAATTTTATTGCTTTAGGTTTTGTTTTGCTCTATCAATGTGACATTTCATTCCTCTCTTACATGATACATCGACCAAGAATCCTAGAACAAGTTGTCTATCTTTATTTGTACTCCCACATAGTAATGATTGATTATTTTTTTTCGAGAACTAAAGAGGGAAGTATAGGGGAAAAAAATGAGAGGGAGTTGTCTTCCAAAAGAACATGTATTCAACATATCGAGTTAAAGGCTGACCTGTGAGCAAGTATAGACTATTAAAGTCATCCAATTCCAGTTATCCAATACAGGTCTCTCTTTCTCGCTGACTGCTTCCTGCAGAAAATATAGCAATGGCGGCATCAGCTGCATCTCATAGTAACGTGACGCACCACAGAGCCTGCACGTCCCCGGATCAACAGCATTTCCAGAAGCCAGAAGCGGCTTTCCACCATATGAGTATCTACGGGAAAAGACAATAAATGAGTCTCTTTTTGTAACGATAAAAATCACTGATAATGAAATTGGTGATAATTTAATGATTAACTGAGGTAAGACGGTAAAAATAAAAGAAACTTTGTGCTGTAGAAGTGAAAAGGACCCCTAAACCAACAGAGAACTCTATGACACTCTGTTTTTACTCTATTTTATATATTATTTACCTTTTTCGGCAAGCCAAGCAGCTATAGATCTTGAGCGTCTTCATCGGAGAAGAAAGATCCACAGAAGACTCCGAAGGAGTAGGAATTGGCTCACTAGGTTCAACTAAAAAGTAGTCAAATCGTGTCCTTGGCAGGCTCGACCATCGGAGATCCGTTCATTACGAACGTTTTTTCTCGATGTGGACCAAGCTCCAACTTCCTTTTTAGCTTTGGCTCGGAAGAGGTCGGCCTTTGAGCCCGTATTGGATGGAATGACAGATAGTGTTGGCAGTGGACTAATAAAAATTACCGTGGGAAAAATGAATGTACAACCTAAGATGTGTTTTCCAATGTACGGTCAGAATTAATCTCACAGCATGCCAGGCAACAACTTCCGGTACAAATAGTAATACGCTACAATTGGAGATGAATAAGGTAATCAAAGTCGAAAGCTAGAAGAGCTGCATGAAAGGCAGAAAGCTTACTACGTACTTCAAGAAATCAAAAGTACATTAAACTTAGATTTTGCTTACTGCTTTGGAGGAAATAAAAAAGTATATAATACTGAGATTTTGCTTCTCAAAGTCTACTCCAGCAAGCAAAATGTTAAGTTCCCGGAGGCAATACTTAAAAGTAAATTCAGTAGTACAATGGCTAGCTTTTTAGAGTTTTACCTGAAACATTGCTCTGGATAAGCATCTAATCGCTTTTTGAACTTAAGGTAAATCCGGTCAGCATTCAATGCCCTATCATACTCGTAATCTTCCACCTCCCATGTTTCTTCTGGAGTATCAGGATCATTTTCTTTGTCCTTGATTGGAGATAAGATGCCTTTTGAACTAACAGAAACATCCTTTTTGGAAAATTTCTCTTCCTCAGCATATATATAGAAGCACGGAATGACTGCGACCAAAGAATCATTTCAGAGTGCGCAGAAACATAAGGTAATCATACAAGTGATATTCCCAGTGATAATTGCATATCTCATATGTCATTGAAAACACTTGATAATAGCCTATGAAGACCTAAAGTTTTGACAGCTGTCAACTCCTCAACAACTCACCGACTTTTTTGTACAATAAGTAAATACATGCATTGGGCCCTTGATCGATCTACTTAGCTCTCCTATCAAGAACCAGCACCAACTGCCTCCCCCAAAAGAAAAGCAATGAACAAATTACATATTTGTTTTAACAATAACACATGCCATTTTCTTTATCTAGGAATAACATTTTTCAATTTTAGTGTTCTCTATCATAGTGCTATATATATGGGAAAAAAAAAACTTGACTCCACAAAGTAAACAGTTTGATCTCATCTTCTATCATGCAAAGTTAAATAAAGACACCTTACACACATCATACAGAAGGGGCTCTAGCAAAAGATTCTATCAAGTGCAATTAACGTCAAGCAAAACTGAACAGAAGTTACCTGGTGTTTTTTCATCAGTTGCTCTAATCGCGCGGTTAGGGGTTGAAGTTTCTGCCGTTACTTGATGACCACAGATTTGTTTCTTGGAGTGAAAAGCCACGGTTGCAGCTTCAGAAAGCGCCCTAGCCAACTCAGCAAGGTCAATGTCATCCTCATCTTCATCATCATCATCCTCTTCCGAAGAGTCAAATGTCCATATATCCTTCTTCCGGTCTTTCTTTGAATCTGATACAGAAGATACAGGTGAAGCGACATCCTTATAAGACTGACTCTTTAAACCTTCACTTCTTAGAGACTTTTGGATTCTAATAGCTCTCCAGCTGTCACGGAAATGTAATAGATAGACCGCATAAGTTAAATCCAAATGATTACTAAGTTCCAAGCATTTTACAAAAAGACAATAAGTTATGAATACTAAAAAAGGACCTTACAGGACCGCTCCCACATTCTGGCGTCAAACAACCAAAAACATAGATTGCACGCTCTTCAATGTTCAAATTTTTCTTTGAAATTGGAGCATAAACCTAAGGAAACATATGCAAGGAGAAAAGTATATTAAAACTCTAGAGCTTTAAGAATCCAAGTAATCAAGTAATTCAAAATTAGCCAATGGTTTCAGAGTACCAACCTGTGCAAGAAGACATAAATCGGTTTTACAAGCACAGCATTTGAGCAAATCAACACATGTGGTAGGAAGAGGAATAGGCCAATCCTGTTCAAGAAAAAAAATTAGAATTATAGTACAACAAAGAAAGCATCATCTAAAAATAAACTACGCCGTATCCAGAAGGATTCTCTTACAGGAAGTCCACCGATTTTTGTTGTATAATGATCAGCAGCTTCGTGAATATGACCTGCCCACGATCCTGGCATGCCTAAAAACACTCCCCCCATCTTGTTTTCTAATCCAAACAAAACAAGGTCGATAACAAATGCAGTTCAAATGAGATCCCCTTTGTATTTATTAGTACATGCATCATATAACACCGAACCAAGAGTATATGAACAAAGTTCAAGTCTTAAATCGCTGCAATTGTTTTTGCAGAATAAAGAGAACGTCAAGCCAGAGACAAACTATAATATGAAAATGTTACACCCTCCATCCAAAAAGGATGATACTTTTCGGATTTCGAGAGTTAAACATCTTAATTTTGAACGCAAATTCGGACATAGAATCTTGAAGTTTTTTGAAATAAAGTTTACATGGTTGGAGACCATAAAAAGTACTATAAGTCACAATAATTAACGATTCAAAATATTTAAAAGGTCGATAACAATGATCAGCAACTTCGTGTATATGACCTGCCCACGATCCTGGCATGCCTAAAAACTCTTCCCCCATCTTGTTTTCTAATCCAAACAAAACAAGGTCGATAACAAATACAGTTCAAATGAGGCCCCCTTTGTACTTCTTAGTACATGCATCATATAACACTGAACCAAGAGTATATGAACAAAGTTCAAGTCTTAAATCGCTGCAACTGTTTTGCAAGATAAAGGGAACGTTAGCCAGAGACAAACTATAATATGAAAATGTTACTCCCTCCATAACATAAAGGATGATACTTTTCGGATTTTGAGAGTTAAACATCTTAATTTTGAACGCAAATGTGGACACAGAACCTTGAAGTTTTTTTAAATAAAGTTTACATGGTTGGAGACCACATAAAAAGTACTATAAGTCATAATAATTAACAATTCAAAATATTTAAACGGCATATGAAAAAATTGCGGTCAAAGAACAATCCGTTTGACTCTCAAAATCCGAAAAGTATCATCCTTTTTGGGACGGAAGGAATAACTAAAACTGTACAGAATACCTGATTCCTCCGATGAAGATCCATTACTAAGTTACATTGATGAATTTATATAGCTTTAAGCACAAATAAGCTAGTTACCAATTTTGTTCTCTAAAACTTCTTGCAAGAACCAATCCACTTTAGATATCAAAGAGAGAATAAACAATTTACATAATGACAACCAAAAAAAGCTAGTTTTTTTATTAAGGAACTAACAAAGCTAGTAACAATAAAATTGTGTCCTTGTACCTCAAGTTTAAGTTTCAACAAGTACCACAAAAATGCCACAGTAAAACAATCACTATACCCAAAACACCTTTTTTTCTTTTAAATGAGAAATCATTATGAATATGCAACCAATTCATGGGTGTTTTTTATTTTTATTTTTCCTCATGTTTGCATCAAAATAACAAAAAGGAAGCAGTAAAGACAAGCATTTGAATACACAAAAAAAAAAAAACAGATACGCATGCTAGTTTTTAAGTAAATACCCAAATAAAAAGCAGTTCTTGATTGGTGGAAGTTTTCACTTACTGAACAATTGAAAAACCTCAAACTCAACGACCTTTTGCAACTTCTTTACGGAGACTCTTGAAACGGCTTAGTAGTAGCTCCAGAACTTTGAGGCTGTGAGAAAAGGTATACAGACAACGTTTTAATTTTTCAGGATTTCCGAGAAATATACTGCTAATTTTACTCCTTTCCTAAAGAGGTACTGTACCCTCAGTCCCAATTCATGTACTGTATAAGTGTTAAAATACTTAATTTTTTATGTGAATTGAGGTATAATGTTTTTTATATTTTTTAAAATAAAATTTTTATATTTAATCACATGAAAAGTACTACAACTCAATATGGCTAATGATTCAAAATATTTAAAAAGGTTTGAGAAACTTATAGTAAAAAAATATTTGACTCCCTAAATAGATTACCTTCAGAAGCGGATCCATGATTTCATTATATGAGTTCAACATTTAATATTCATTCGCTGAATGCCTAATATATTTAAAATTTTGGTTTCATATTTTCTATTCGTTGCAATTCTAGTTAACTTTTACACATAAATTTATGCTGGCACAAGAAAATACTAGATTCGGATGAATTCGGCACAAAAAACTACATCCGCCTTTGATTAGCTTCACATAAAAGATGAAGGGAGTATGTGACATTTCATATACTACATTCTACTGTTAAAAAATTGTAATGATAGTTATCTAATGAGACACTAGCTATATTTGTCATTTTGTTTTAATCAAGAACTAGCTTCATTTGATCAAGAACTAGCTATATATATTTGTCGCTTTACACTAGCTATATTTTCCACCTTCTATATCTTCTTTTCCACCTTCAAACTCCACTAGGGTTACTGCATCTATAGAAGCTGCTTTGTCATTTCAGTTTTCATTGTGAAAGAAGGAAAAAAAAAAACCAAACAAATGAAGGAATTCATATACCCATGTAGTGGCTACAAACTGAATTTGAAATTGAAATATGCAAAATGACATTTGCATCTGGTGTAAACTACATATTTTGAAGTGTTAAAGGTGCACAGTAGCTAGCTTGATATGTAAAGTAGGGAGAATATCTCATACCAGCACACAAATCTCTGTTGCTGATCAACTTTGAGGGACTATCACATCTGGTTCTATAGATATCTTATACTTAGATTTCCTGAACCTAATTAATTGGCTATACTAATGAATATTTTATTACTATTAATTATTAGTATGAAATTATCACATGGACTCTTCATTCATTCTAAAGTGACTGTCTGCTATTGTTGAGCCGGAATCACACTGTTGAGACAGAAAAAGAATTATGAGCTAGGTTTTTGCCCCCGAGTATAATATTAGGGTAATATAGAAGACTGAACAATAAACATCGTGTAAAATCAATGATTTATCATTATAAAAATTCCAACTGTTCCTCGATTCCAAATTATAAGTTGGTTCGGAAATATGAATCCTAAAATAACCACTCCTCTGAAAATCATCAACGACACATGTATTAAATTAACCTTCACAAGATATAGATTATGTCTTAGTAGACATGATATGTTTGATCTGATGAACATCATTTTTGACATATACTATGATATTAGTAGAATATGAGGGTGAGAGTCAGAGATAGAACTGTTGTTATAAGAACATTTGAGGTTAGTCGCTTGATAACAAGGAAGAGTAACTCACGAAAGAAAATTTTTAGAGTATCGTTATCATTATGAAAGACGAAAGAGTAGTGCATCATTTAAAATTATGCTATTTAAGTCGAGCTTTTCTTCTGATAATTCTAAGTCAACATTCTAAACTTCCAACTACCATCTATAGAAAATCTCTCCGAGTTATATGCTGGTAGAAAATGAATCTCTAAAGAAAGTGGTGATCAAGTAGCTGAAAAGGTTAACACCACACAACTTAACCCCTAACCACCGGTACTTCCTCCAACAGGACTTGGACACATTTAAGTATGAAGTTCATCCATATCCTAAGGATAACTAAAGAACCTACAGGTAAGCGCAAGAACATGAAATGCTATTTTTCTTCAGCATAATCAAAAACCAGCACTGAGATTAAATAATTTAGTGAAGAACATTACTTTCCGCTCCATCAAAAATATTCTTTTTCAATCAAAATAAAACTTACATTACAACTAGAATCAAAATAGAGCCTATATTATAATGCTCAAAACATTGACCTTATTTTGGAGGGAGTAGTTAGCGACAGAATAAATGCAAGCATTGACAGCGAAGAGCTTCGACGAGCGAGTCCATCGCTCCAACTAGAGTGCTATTGACTAAATAGATTCAGCGGCAGAACTCAATGGAACGTTTTCATCAGAAAATTTGTTTGACACGGAAAATACTTTAACAAAGTTAATTTACATCACTGTTTCTTTTTCATCTAAATTTTCAAAATATTAAATTAGACTTACCAAAGGTAATAAGTTGGCTATACAATTTAAAGAACCCACAAAAATCAGAGTAAAGAAACGGAACTAGAGCACCTAATGGTAAAAAAAAATTCAACCAATTCATCCTACAAAATTTTCATGACCCTTCAAGCAAGTTCCCAGAAGAATTGTATAATCCAAATCGCAAAGGAGAAAACCATCGCATAGACGAAACTCTAAACCCAATACTCTCACTTTTATCACTCACAAAATAACTATCAGTACTCAAAACAACCCAATTGCAGAAAACAACTAAAGAAACAGAAAGTTGCACAACCCAATTTCCAATTTCTGGTTCAATCGGAAAAAAAAAAGGAAGAAGAAGAAAAAGGAAACAAAACAGATAAAAGAGAAAGAAATTAAACTTACTCTTGATTATTCGGATAATCCAATGTTAGAATTTCTGTAAAGTCGCTTGGAGAGATGAATTTTAGACACCACCTTCTAAGGGATTTTAAGGTGAAAGTGATTTTTGAAGGGATTTTAAGGTGAAAGTGAATTTCTGGAGGGATTTTACCGTGAAACTGAATTTCTGGAGTGATTTTACCGTGAAAGTAAATTTTTGGAGCATTCCTTTTTTTGTTTACTTTAATTTCATCAGGTTCGCGCCCCTATATCGAGTATGAAACTAGATATATTAACTTTTGTATAGACCATAATAAGTATCATCGTGTATTTAGAAGATAAAATTGTGTATTAAGGACCAAAAAAAATCTCATCTCTATAAGTACACTTTTAGGAACTATATTTAAAATTTATGCTGTCAGATTTGGCTCAAACCCAAATGATCCGTCCAACCCGCCCATGGTTGGGCTGATTATTGATTCGCTCATTTATTGAACTCAACTCATGTTGATCCAATTCATCTCAATGCATTTAAAGTTGAAGAAGTAACCCAAATAGCCGTCTACCTAACCGCTTAAACTAAAAATATCCGGTGGAGGTATAGCGTATGCATAAGTTATGTATTATATGTGTATAATGAATGTATAATCTATGTATATGACTAGAGAAAGTAAACAATAAATACGGTCGGCTATTTGTGTAAAGATCCCTTTAAAGTTGGGTTGATTTTTAGTCCAAATTGATCCATAAGTAAATTTGTCGAAATATCTTAGAAATAATTTTGTTATTTTTTTGTTTGATATGTTATAATATATGACCATAACAAAAGAAAAAAGTCTTATTTAGTAATTATGCAAATCATAAGAAAATAACATGTAGTATTAACTAAATATTGATAAGAGTTGGGCGGGTTGGGCTATGACTCAAATTTTAGCCCATCTTGACCCAACTCATAGCCCAAGTAAAAATGACCCGCCAATTATTGACTCAACCCATTTTGACCTACCCAAAATGTGATGACCCGAAAGGTCATCTTTAAATTTAATACTCATTTCTGTGTTCTGAGACCTCAAATAACACTATTCAGCTTTCCTCGACTTGCGTGCACAGTCCGTAATTTTTGTCGGAAAGTTTTTATGTGAAAAAAATGATTAAAATGTGAAATGGAGCTTTAAAACTCACTTGAGTTGACTTCGGTCATTTTGAGCAAACGGATCCGAATCAGTGTTTTAACGGTTCTAGTGGGTCCGTATAGTGATTTTGGACTTAGGAGCGTGTTCGAAAAATTATTTAGAGATCCGTAGTTAAATTAGGCTTGAAATGGCTAAAATAGAAATTCAAGCTTGAAAGTTTGACCGGGGAGTTGACTTTTTGATATCGGAATCGGAATCTGATTCTGAAAATTTGAATAGGTCTGTTATGTTATTTATGACCTGTGTGCAAAATTTGAGGTCAATCGAACTTGATTTGATAGGATTTGGCATCAAATGTAGAAGTTAAAAATTCTTAAGTTTCATTAAGCTTGAATTGGGGTATTATTCGTGTTTTTAGCTTTGTTTGATGTGATTTGAGGTTACGACTAAGTTCGTATGATATTTTAGGACTTGTTGGTACATTTGGTTGAGGTCCCGGGGGTCTCAACCAAAGAAAACAAATTTTAGTATTAACTAAAGATTGATAAGAGTTGTGCGGGTTGGGTTATGACCCAAATTTTAGCCCATCTTGACCCAACTCATAGCCCAAGTAAAAATGACCCGCCAATTATTGACTCAACCCGTTTTGACCGACCCAAAATGTGATGACCCGAAAGGTCATCTTTAAATTTAATATTCATTTCTGTGTTCTGGGACCTCAAATAACACTATTCATCTTTCCTCGACTTGCGTGCACAGTCCGTAATTTTTGTCGGAAAGTTTTTATGTGAAAAAATTGATTAAAATGTGAAATGGAGCTTTAAAATTCACTTGAGTTGACTTCGGTCATTTTGAGCAAACGGATCTGAATTAGTGTTTTAACGGTTCTAGTGGGTCCGTATGGTGATTTTGGACTTAGGAACGTGTTCGAAAAATTATTTAGAGATCCGTAGTTAAGTTAGGCTTGAAATGGCTAAAATAGAAATTCAAGCTTGAAAGTTTGACCGGGGAGTTGACTTTTTGATATCGGGATCGGAATCTGATTCTGAAAATTTGAATAGGTATGTTATGTCATTTATGACCTGTGTGCAAAATTTGAGATCAATCGAACTTGATTTGATACGATTTGGCATCGAATGTAGAAGTTAAAAATTCTTAAGTTTCATTAAGCTTAAATTGAGATGTTATTCATGTTTTTAGCGTTGTTTGATGTGATTTGAGGCTACGACTAAGTTCGTATGATATTTTAGGACTTGTTGGTGCATTTGGTTGAGGTCCCGGGGGCCTCAACCAAAGAAAACAAATTTTAGTATTAACTAAAGATTGATAAGAGTTGGGCGGGTTAGGCTATGACCCAAATTTTAGCTCATCTTGACCCAACTCATAGCCCAAGTAAAAATGACCCGCCAATTATTGACTCAACCCGTTTTGACCGACCCAAAATGTGATGACCCGAAAGGTCATCTTTAAATTTAATATTTATTTCTGTGTTCTGAGACCTCAAATAACACTATTCATCTTTCCTCGACTTGCGTGCACAGTCCGTAATTTTTGTCGGAAAGTTTTTATGTGAAAAAATTGATTAAAATGTGAAATGGAGCTTTAAAACTCACTTGAGTTGACTTCGGTCATTTTGAGCAAACGGATCCGAATCAGTGTTTTAAAGGTTCTAGTGGGTCTGTATGGTGATTTTGGACTTAGGAGCGTGTTCGAAAAATTATTTAGAGATCCGTAGTTAAATTAGGCTTGAAATGGCTAAAATAGAAATTCAAGCTTGAAAGTTTGACCGGGGAGTTGACTTTTTGATATCGGGATTGGAATCTGATTCTGAAAATTTGAATAGGTATGTTATGTCATTTATGACCTGTGTGCAAATTTTGAGGTCAATCGAACTTGATTTGATAGGATTTGGCATCGAATGTAGAAGTTAAAAATTCTTAAGTTTCATTAAGCTTGAATTGGGGTATTATTCGTGTTTTTTAGCGTTGTTTGATGTGATTTGAGGTTACGACTAAGTTCGTATGATATTTTAGGACTTGTTGGTGCATTTGGTTGAGATCCCGGGGGCCTCGGGTGAGTTTCGGATGGTTAACGGATTGAAATTTGGACTTGAAACTTTGCTGAAAATTTTCTGAGACACTATCTGGTTTCCTTCTTCGCGTTCGCGAGAGGGGTCTCGCGTTCGCGAAGGGGAACTGGAGGCAGGCAAGATTTTCTCTTCGCGTTCGCGAAGGGGAAGTCATATTCGCAAAGGGCTGTGCAGGTTGTGCATCGCGAACGCGCGAGGGAGGTCGCGTTCGTGAAGAAGAAGAAGAAGAAGAAGAAGAGAGAGTTGGTCTACTCATTCGCGAGGGTTTCATTCTCCTTGGACCAAATATTCGTTGATAATTTGATATGAGTGCTTAATTATTATTTATAGACATCTTTACAACGGAAGCAATGTACATTTATAACTAGTCAAAAAAATTTAGATTGATGTTGGTATTTTAACGTAGTTAATGATTGATAACTCTCAAGAATATTAATTATTAAAGTAATGAACATAAATTAACTATCGGCTTTTTTATTCATCACAATTAAGGGTGTACATATGTTGGGTTGGTTCGGATTTTTCAATTATCAAACCAAACCAATGGTGTCGGGCTTTTAAATTTATAAACCAAACCAAACCAACAAAGTCGGGTTTTTTTCGGATTTTCGGGTTTTCGAATTTTTTTCGGGTAAAGTCTTCAGAACACAAAATATGTAACTTGTGCTCCAAATATTTCTTAAGTTCTAATAAAATACAACTATATAATGTGTTTTCCAAGAAACTAACACAATGATATGAGATAAGCCATAACATTATACTAAAATACTCAATAACAAAGATAAAATAATAAAATTATATAAAATAAATATTGTTAATTAATCAGTCATAATGAAAATTAACATAATCTAAAAATTATATATAGGTCATGCAAAAATAAGTATCTAATAAGTACTAATATTAGTTACATAACTAAGCACTAAAGAAAAAGATAAACTAAGTTATGCATTTGCATTATAAATCAATGTAAAACTAAAATAATCATCCAACATTATCGCCATTCCTAGTATTGAATTGAATTTCTTTTGTTAGTATTAGTATTGATTTGAACTTTGTTTGAGTTACTACATTTACGGGCTATAAAATTTATTTACCATTCAATAATATTAAGTCTAAATTTGAAATAATACGTTAAAAGATAAAACCGTGAAAAAATTTAAGAAATATTTATAACTTATATTACAATAAATATTTATATGTATAAAATATTTTTAAAAATTATATAAATGTATTATCGGGTTGGTTTGATTTCGGTTTGACTTTTTTTTAGTTAAACCAAACTAAACCAATTATGGTAGGGTTTTATTCCCCAATACCAAACCAAATCAAACCAAACCACATCGGGGGGAGTTCCGGTTTGACTCGAATTATCGGTTTGATAAGGTTCATCGGTTTTCTTTGCACACCCCTAATCACAATTTTATAGGATAAAACAACAAAAGCAATCATATAATTCGATCATGTAACGGCCATGCTAAATTTTTTAGTGGCCAACAGTTATTAACCACCTTCAATTAAAGAGTATGTGACCATGTCAACTTTGCGAAATTTAATAACTATGAAACTAATTAGTTTAAAAACTTCTAGTATCACATTACTTTTATATATGTGAACTAAGCAATTTTTAATAATAAAAAATCTGTTTAAGTGATAAATTCAGTTATTTTTTACATTAACGAGAACTAAAAATTAAAAATCATCCTTTATGATGGTTGTTAATTACAAAGTACCATATTATTATAATAATTAAATATGTGT